CTGTCTCTGTCTCTATTGTCTCTCTCTGTCTCTCTCTCTCTCTCTCTATCTCTGATTAAGTAATGACATATTCACTTTTTGTCCGAGTAAAAGTTACTAGCTAACTAACAGTTGCTCTTTCCCCTTAGCCAGGGGCACGTTGTACAGAAGGTTCCTCTGTAAAAAGATGAATGGCCGATGTGAAAATGACTGCCTTACCTTCGAAGAAAAGATTGGGACCTGCCGAGCCAACTTAACACCACTGTGCTGCAGGAAAAAAAAGAATCAATGAATTCTCAGCACCAGCTATGAGGAGAATCTCAGAAGAAACTTCTCTGGACTGTCCCTCACTGGCCTCTTCTCCAGTTTTGGACTTTGTAAAGTCAGGTCTATTCGGTGCACTCCCTGCCTGACTCTGACCTTCTGTGGGGCTGACACTATGTCCTGTAACAAACTCTATACACTTTCTTTCTGGCACAGTCTAAAGATTATTCCATTTGCTGACAAAAGGAAAAATATAAAAAAAAATTAAAAATTAAAAAAAATAAAAGCAGGTAAGATTCGAGAGTTGCCCTGTGACTTAGATGAGCTGCCTTCTCTAATTCTCTCCCTAGCTTTAAGGAGATCTTTGACAATAGGTCTTCTCCTCAAATTTCTGATACCTGTAAATAGAAAGAACTTGTCCCTCACAGTAAATGGTCTATCTGCTAGACACAGATAGTTTCAGCAATAGACCTGCCACACATTGAGAGAAATTATTTAGCCTGACTTCCATACACTGGATGACCTAAGACACGGAGTTCCATATAGAACAGTGCTCATATCAAAATTCAGGTTGACTGTAGAATAAACATGTCTCACACTGGCCATATACAGTGAGAACTTAAGTCATGAACTGTGTAGACAGCACAGTCCTCAGAAGTCATGAACTCAAAGCCTAACTACAGATAAGCCCACGTTCAGTCTATAACTTACTACACTTATAAAATTTAAGACTTCTGGCTTTTATGTCTCATGTTCTTAGTGTGTCCATTAAACAGTGTTCTGGGTGAGGATGGAAGCTCAAAGGCCATAAATAAAGGTGTGACAATTCTTGGCAGCAAAAGTGGAAGGAGAGGAGAAACAATCAGCCACAAAGAAAAACAAGTAGATACTTCTTCCAAATGTCCCCTGCAGAAAAATGGCAGTCTTGCCTGCCCTTTGCTCTAAGTCGCCAGAACTAGAAGTCCAGTGTATTTCACATGCCACTTTTAGCATGAAACTTTCGTCCTCCTCCTGGATGTAAAGAGATGTTCCCTCAGCTCAAACTTCAGGTCTTCCTAGCCTGTCCCGTTAAGCTTGCTTCCTGCAAAGATTAAAATAAAAGAACCAAACAAAACTATTTGGTAAAAGAAGACATATTTTTGAAAAAATGTTTTAAAATAAGAGATAGGAGCTATGGTGATGGCTCAGCATTTAAGAGTGCTTACTACTCTTGCAATGACTCAGTTTCCATTCCCAGCACCCAGACTGGGCAGCACATAACTACCCACTGCTCTAGTTTCAAAGGTCCTGATGACTTCAGCATCTGCATGTACATGGAACAGGAAATCTCACAAAGGCGCACAATGTACCAATGAATAAATGAATCTTAATATAAGAAAGAAGTGTGTTCTCAAGAATTATTCTGCTGTCAGTACTTGTCTCTGTGGTTTTACATTTCTTCTCAAAACTAGGCCAGAAGAGATCATGGAATCGCTGCCCTGATCAAGTCAATTCTGTTTCAGATGAACCTAGCGGAACATCTGTTGGCACATTTACCTTTCTTACTTCTCCCTGTATCTTTTCTTTCTTTCAGTGTCAAATGATTAGAAACTCAATGCACATTTTTGCAGTTTTCAAACTGTCTTCTCTACAGTCTGTGGAAAAGTTTACTGTCACAAACCAACAGAATCTGTCTTTATAAAGAAGCCACTGTTCTCTTCACAAAGGCACCAGTTGCTGACAACAGTCTAGGACCTGCATTTGTCTTCCTGGCCTTCTCTGAGATGGCCTACAATGTGGTTTGGCCCCAGCCTTTTCCATTCTCTCTTCATCTCTCCAAGGGCATCTCCTCCGTACTTTCCCCACTCACTGTCTCTGCCTGTGTTTCCTAGTTTTCTTCTTGCTGGAACTGCTTTGCCTGGATTTACCCATTTTATTAAATATGCTACATGGAAGTGTCCACTCAGCCCTGTGGCTTAGAGTCTCACTGGATGCCATAGCATTTATTTGCCAATGTTTCTGAGCCCTGAATTTTCCTCCTGCCCAGGATGGGGAGTGACTGGCTTCCAACAGGCTTAGATAACTCTTGGAGGTGGCAGATCTATTGTGTATCTTAATTATGGAAGTGGTAGTATACTAATGAATCTGTTGACTCTGTATGACAAGCACGTGCAAGGACACACACAAGTGCACACACATGCACACATACAACCGCACCTTCTACCCCCACACATATAGTATGCATGTATGTCTAAGCTGTGTCTTCACAATTCACATGTACACATTTGAGATAAATGATTTGCTGGCTTGTATTTATGTCTATAACACTAAAAGTAAACTATGATGAGCTTTTATGTAATACACTCATAAATATGTTGTAAATAAACTTGAAAGCGATTTTTTTGGAATGAATATGGTCTCTCAGGAAATAATTCAATAAACAAAATAGTTTATAGGATTTTAGCAACTAAGGTTGGAGCATGTCGTCTGCAGACACGGAAATTATTCACTATCAATATGAGAAGGAATCTTATAGATAATTTGTCTCAATGCTTTCATTTTGCAGAGAAGAAGTTTATGACTGCCTACTGTCCTGGTGACACTCAGTCTCATGGAGTCAGTTAGGTGTCAGTGCCAAAACAACATCCTAACTACCTGAATGTTAGTTCCTTGTCTTTCTCCCTGGAGCCCACACAAGTTAATCTGTGCTGGTTTTCTCTGATGACTGTATACAAGCTGTTACCACAAGGAGCTGTATACAAGCTGTTACTACAAGGAGCTGGTACTTGCAAATAAAAATCTATAATATTTACGAGTTACCTTAAGACCCAAGTAAATAAGTCTTCCATGTTGTCAGTTTATATTGACATCTTTCTTAATTATCTTTAAACATCGTCAGGTTATAGCATTTTAATAATTTATTCCACTTTAAAATATAGATAGATAGATAGATAGATAGATAGATAGATAGATAGATAGATACATATATATGTACACACACACACACACACACACACACACATATATATATATATATGCTAATCTGTATTTGTTTTTAAATGTAATTCTGGCCTGTAACAATAAGAAGCTTATCTGTGGCTAATACCTGTCACATCGGCCACCCTGAGAGGTCTCCACGAGAGAAGGACTAGATCACTAGATCTTGGTGTCTACCAGCACCAGAGATTGTCCAGCACTGGGGGATTATACACTCATTACCATGCTCCTTTCTTAGCTCACATCCCACTGGGATTTATGTACCATGGCCTGTGTGCAATGGTGCCCCATAGTCGTAATCGAATCTAAGGGCGAGAACCTTAACTGAAGTCTCTTCCGGGAGATGATAAAGATGATGGATTTTCTCCCCTGTTATAGCCTCATGTCTGGTAAGGATGAAACGTTAACTAGAGACTTTGGGAACATCATCTGGGATGATGCTATGGTCACAAGGAGCAACTTCTCACGTGAGTCGCATTTATGCATTTGCCTGTGAGTTCAAGTAGCTTCCAGAATGCTGCCTTCCAGGAATACTCGCATGGTCTACCCCCTGGAAGAGAATTTAAGAGGAAGCTTTCAAGAGATGTTTCTAAACAGCCAACTGAGTAAGTATACTCTGGGTCAAGAAACCATGAAGCAAAAGACTTTGCATCTGAGTGTGTGTGTGTGTGTGTGTGTGTGTGTGTGTGTGTGATGTCTCTGTTGATGGCTACTAAGTGAAATTCCATTTTACATCCTAGGCATAGCTAACTCAAGCCTGTTTGGTATAGATATAAAACAACGTTTACAACGACTTTGTAAAACTTTAAAGGTGGTGATATCAGACATTGAATTAATGAAACAGACGCCCAGTATTCAAGAAACACGCGTGATTTACAAAACTCGACCTCATATTATTTGAGTATTTTCTTCACATTTTGGTGGCTCTATTTTGATATTATAATCCTCTATGATATTTTGCATTTCAGCTCTTCAAATTATTTTGTCCCAAATTTTTTATTTCATTCCATTTTATGATTTATAGTTTTATCTATTAATACCACACTTCCATTTATGATTCTCTTGGTTTGAGGCAGCAGTCCAGACTTTCTCTGAGTATTATGACTCTTTAAAAGCTTTTCGCCCCTGTCAAAAAAAATCCAGTGATACTTTCTAAACATATTACCGAGCATCTTTTCTTTGGACCTAACGGTAGACATGGGAGACACGAAAACACTATCTCTCTGTAGCGGTGAGATTTGGGATTCGTGTCCAAATATAGTACTGAAAAGTGGGAAACCACAAGAGACAACATAGGAGCCAACAAATAGAAAATCACTGAGAGAAAAGAAAACGTATGAAAAAGTGGATTCTCAATAATACAACAAACCAACAGTAGACGATTCTTAGTGATGAGAAGCCAAGCTCAGAAGCTAGACAATCTCTCCCTCTAGTGGCCATGTCACGCCATGTTTAGAAAAACGCCCCTTAACTAAATTTTTCTATGAAAATAATAACTAGTATTTCAAAAGAGAAGTTAAAACTACACATAATTCTGGTACATCATAATTGCAAAGCTTAAAGAAGTTTTAAAACAGACTTATCTCTTTCAGAAGATTGAAAGTATTTCTGAGGCTGGAAAGATACCTCTGTCATAAAGTGATTGACTCCCCATAAAGACAAGGACCTGAGTCCAAGCCCCAGAACACACGTTTAAAAGCCAGGTATTCACAGGCCGGAGTTTGTGACCCCAGGTCTGGGAAATCAGAGACAAATGGATCCCTGGGGCTCAGTGATAGCTCAGGCTAGCAGACGTGGCCAGAAACAAACTGCTGAGAGGCTCTATCTCAAAAGGAAGAGGATAAGGTCTGAGGAGAGGAGTGACAAGTTGGCAATCTCTTCTGGCCACCATGTGAATGTCACATGTATTCTAACACACATACACAAACACCAACATGTGCTTGTATGTGCACGCACATACAACTAATGTGAGTCCTTTTGTGTATAACCATGTGTATGAACCATCATTGAGATGAAAGCACATGATTTTACACTTTTTTTTAAAAAAAAAAA